TACTACTACTACTAGTAGTACTATTACTACTACTACTACTACTACTACTACCACTACTACTACTACTACTACCTCTGCTACGACTACTACTACCACTACTACTACTACTACTACTGCTGCTACTACAACTACTACGACAACAACAACAACTACTACTACTACTACCACCACCACCTACTACGACGACGACGACGACGACGAGGACGAGGACGACGACGACGACGACGACGACGACGACGACGACTGACTACTACTACTACTACTACTACTACTACTGCTACTGCTACTGCTACTGTAGCAACTGCTACAGCAGCTGCTGCCACTGCCACATGATTCGATGGCGCACCGGTTGCAGCCCAACGACCCTGATGCCCGCGTGAGGCTGAGCGGCTCAGCCAGACGCTGCTGCGAGTGGCAGGCCATGGTTCTGAGAAGCTGCGCAAACCCTCAGCCCTCGCCCCAAACTGCAGCCTTTGCCACGTTCTGGCCACCAGCACCCGAGGAAGTGCACCAAACGCCCCAGTGTGCAGGTTTCCAGGAAGACGACGACGACGACAAGAAGGCACCATTCCTACCTGGGGTCTCGGAATTGGTTCTGGATTGGTGCCTTCAGTGTCTAACCCCAACGTGCCTCAACCCTGCCTCACCTAACGTGTAGACAAAGCTTTTGCTAGTGCAGGTCATGCATTGAGAAAGGGACCTAGCAGCCCCCAGACCCCAACAACCTAAACCCGCCACCGCATGTCTCCTCCCCGTTTCGTCGTGAGGGAACCGATCGGTGTAGGTTTTGTTTGGGGTTTGAGGGTTTCATCTTCTTCCGAGTTCGCACTGAAGCGGCCAACGACCCTTTGTGGCCAAACCGGTATCCGTAGCAGCGTGGAGCTGTGATCCAAAAACTCCAAGTGCATGACTGCGACGTATAATAGGTATCCTTCCTTGCCAGACTGTAGTGGGATGAACGCATTGATTTCGATCCGTTATCCGACGCAACGGTGATATGTTGCACGCTCTTGCCTGGCATGTGAATATTCGTCGGGTTGCAGTCAGAATTGTCTCGCAGTGCTGCGGACGTAGTGTTGAGCTGGACACAGCATGGCAGCCACTGCTGGAATCCAATCCTAGCGTTCGCAGCATGGGTTGCCGGAAGACCACCCCTGTATCAAACATTACTCCTTGGCACACCTGAAGCCCAAGCTCAAGTCTAAGTCCTATGCCGTTTTTCACCCTTGGTTGTGTCGGGAAATTCCTGAACCCACATTCGTTCCAGAACGCAGGATGTCGGCGGCAAGCGGCTCTGGAGAGCTTTGGTGGATGGCCGCCAAGGCCATGTCGGGCTAGTCGTTGTGGTCACGTTTGCACCAGGTTTTGAGTTTTTTTTGTATGGCGTTGGTATGGTTGAAGGGTTTTTGGGATTGAAGGTCCGCGTTTCATCGTGGATCTGTAGAGCCTTTTGGACAGCGTTGAAGCAGCCCACCTCGACAGGTGCAGGCCGCACTGGTGCTGCTGTCGATCAGGAGTGCCCCGCCATCGTGCCTTTGGGGTTTAGGGTTTAGGGTCTAGGGGTTTAGGGGTTTAGGGGTTTAGGGTTTAGGGGTTTAGGGTGCTTAGGGTTTAGGGATGCTGGTGATCTGGCAGTAACGGTGAAAGTCACGGGAGCGACCTGAGTTGCCCTATTGGCAACCTAGTGCCCTGGCAGTTCGCAGGATCTTCCGGTGCCCCTCAGCAGTCTCTGGTCGGAGGCCAGTCAGTGCGTGGGCTGAGGCTCCTTATTCCGAAGGTCCCATAATGCCGACAACACGGGCTTCTAGTTGTGTGGTCCCAGCCCCAGAGCAGTGAATGCAGGTGTCGGGGTACGACTATGGATCCTGAGAATACTGGGAATTTATGGGTACAGGAAGCATTTCGGACCAGAAGGCGGCTTCCATGCCACCCTCCACACGCGAATCTCCCACAATGTACAAGCAAGCCGTGACCGGAGGAACTTTGGAGGGGAAAGGGACCCACTGGCCTTTGATGCCTTGTGGCCAGGGCCCACCAGAAGCGGGCAGCACTTCAGCCGCATGGTTTGGGTTTTAGAGGCAGTTCAGGTTTCAGGGGAACCCCCCAAAAAAGATCTTCAACTCTTAAAAAACCCGTGATGGAAGTCCTCGGATCTGCCTGGGGGATCGGAAGGCGCTGTTGCGGATCAGTGCCGAGTCGCTGGAGCTCCGAAGAGAGGCGATGAGAGCGTGGAATGGAGGGTGTAGGGTGTAATGATGTACGGTTTTGGCGGAATGGTTTCGAGTTCCGGTTGAAGGTTTCGGGATAAAGTATCGGAGCAAGGGTCAGAGCTTCATTGTTTGGAGATTTTTGCTCAAGACATTCAGGTTGAGGGGTTTCAGATCTAGTTTAGGACTTGGAGCCTTGAGTGTGGAGCTGTGTGGCGCTCAACCGTTGTCGTCCGGGAGGATGCACGGAGCAGGTGCTGACATCTCCTAAGCCCTTGGCGACCCACTCCCCTCCCCCCCCCCCCGAAACCCTAAACCCTAAGCCCTATACCCGAAACCCTAAACCCCCTAAACCCCAAACCCCTAAACCCTAAAACCCCCTAACCCCCCCCCCCTCCCACCTCCCCCGCCCCCCTCCCCCTAAACCCGACGCGGGCGAGGCGGCGGCGCCGCATCCAAGGGAGACGCCAGCAACACAATGGCCGCCGACATGGAAGCCAGCCAATTGGAGCGCCTTGGAAAGAAAGCTTCGGCTCCCTTTAAGGCCGCACACATATATGTATTTGTGTATTACGTATACGTATACGAATCTATTGTATGTACATTTACTTCGAGATAATTATATCTCTGTGTTTCTGTACTGAAAAGAATAGAGGGTGCCCTTGTAGATCCATGAGGGGTGCCTTGAGAAGGGTTTTAGAAGGTGCCTATGAGGATTTGTATCTCTTGTTCAATCGGATTTCTTCTGCTGACTGGGTTGAATAGAGGTCTTGAGTAGGGTTTTATATGGGCAGTTTGGGTAGGTCCGGGGTTTTCACAGCGCTGAGGGTTTTGGGGTGTTGGGTGTTGCATGGCTAGTTTTGGCATGTTTGGCGAGGCTTGTTGATTCGGCATCGGGGCTTCCCCATACGAGTGGGTAGGTCATGGGGCTCCATGGGTCTAGGATAGTTTTCAGGGTTTTGGGTTTAGGGTGTAGGTTTTTGGGTTTTAGGTTTTGGGTTTTGGGTTTAGGGTTTTGGGGTTGGGGTTTAGGGTGTAGGTTTTTGGATCCACAGGTAAAACACTTAACTGTACTCAGAGAATCACCATACTGCTGTCGGAGCTTCTGGTGGCATTAGGATCTGTGCTTTGCAACATGTTGAGAGAATTCGAACAGGGTTTGAGGGATGTTTTGCTATGATTGTAATCGGGACTACGTACAAGGGCATACTAGTATGAATGATTCGGACTGCTATAGTCAGCCAGTAGGCCGGAGCCGCTAGCAAGTGCTGCACCCCGTAAGCTACCCTAGATAACCGGCATTTACAGTACAGACGGAGGTCTTCAAGATTTAAGTCCAAAGCCACTTGGATGGTTATCTAAATTAGGGTCCCCTTCTAGGTCCAAAATATAGTACGGCACCCTTTATAAAAAAGGCCCCCCAAAGGGACCCTAATTTAGAGAACTACCCGCTTGACCTTAAACCTGGAGCAGCGACCATGTTGGAAACCTGGACAACTCAGTCCTAAGACTTTGGATCCAACAGCCGCAAAGCGACCAACAACAAGCATTGTCCTGTGACTCCAGAACACAGCCCTGAACCCCTACTTGGAGGTTCATGGGTAGTTAAGAAAAATGCTTATCGGAACCGTGAAGGGAACCTTTGCCCTATAAACCCTCAACCCTCAAACCCAAACCCAGAAACCCAGCAACCCAGAAACCCTCAACCCTCAACCCCTACCCCTCCCCCCAAAACAAGGGAAAGCCGTAAAGGAACCCTAAACCCCAAACCCCTAAACCCTAAACCGTAACCCTAAACCCTAAACCGTAACCCTAAGCCCTAAACCCCAAACCCTAAACCCTAAACCCCAAACCGTAGCCCCTAAGCAGGCTCGGGGATCCTTCTCTTCTTTCCCTGGAGGTGCCGGGGGGGGGTTTGGGATTAGGGCCATGAGGGGCCAGAGATGATCGAGTCTAGGGATCAGGGGGCCTTAGGGGTTTTTGTGCGGGTTTAGGGGTTAGGATTTAGGGTTTATAGGGGCTTTAGCGCTTTAGGGCTTTTTTTAGGGGGTTTAGGGGTTTCATAAGGGGGTTTAGGGGTTAGGGGTTTAGGGGTTTAGGCGTTTAGGGCAGCCGAAGGTTGTAAGGACTCATATTTATGAGGCTTTCGGGCCCGAAGACCAAGCCTAAACCCCTAACCCCTAAACCCCTAAACCCCTAAACCCTAAACCCCGAATGCTGTAGGAGGTGTTTGGGCAGCTTTGAGCCCTAGGGCTTAGGGGATCAGCCCAGAGAGCCTTCAAGACCCCTTAATTAAGGAATAATTAACCTCAGGAAGATAGACCTTAAATCATACTATTAGGGCCCCTATAGTTTAAGGTATATGATATACCTTAAATTATAGGGGCCTTAATATTCTGATTTAAGGTCTATTCCTTAATTAAGGGGTGTTGGGCTCTCTGGGAGGGATGAGTAGTAACTTAGGGTTGACCTGAACCCGAAAAAGCTTACATGTTCGCTGCACAGCGCCCTGGTCAAACCCTGAACCCTAAACCCTACCTTAAGCTACCACAAACCTACGTTTTGGTAGGGTCCCTATAAATTCTAACTTAGGGTTCATAATAAGAACCTACAAAAAAGTAGGTTGTGGTAGTTTAAGGTAAGCTTTTAAACTCTAAAGCCCTATATAGACCTTAAGCCCCTAAGCCCTAAAGCGCTGGAGTTTTGTTCGGGTTTCGCCTTCAGAGTTGAGCTACGTGGCTTTTGGGTTTAGGGCCGAGGGTTTTGCGGCCAGGCTCTGAGGGTTTTCGGCCAGGCTTTCAGGGTTTGGGTGTTTCAGGTTTTCGGGTTTAGGGATGCAGGGGTTTAGGGGTTTAGGGTTTAGGGTCAAGGGTTTATGGGTTTCGGGGTTTCGGGTTTAGGACTATGACGGTTGAAGTAGTAAGTAGCAGGAAGGCATGTCGCCGAGCAGCCAAGGCCAAGTCGTTGAAACCCCAAGCGTTTCAGCTCTCGACCAGTCCCTAAACCATCCTAAACGAACAACCTAAACCTGAACCCAAATCCTCCGTGCTATTATTGGCAGAGGGACCCTAAACCCTAAACCCTAATCCTTAAACCCTAAATCCTAAACCCTAATCCTTAAACCCTAAACCCTAAACCCTAATCCTTAAACCCTAAACCCTAAACGCTAAACTCTGATCCGCTGCAAGTCCCAACTATGCGACTGGACCGCAGGCCCTGGCGACTACCGAGGACAACAAGATGCCGAGGATCAAGAACGACTTGATCAAGCACGATGCTCGCCTTAAGCTATTAGGGTTTAGGGTTTAGGGTAAAGGGTTTAGGGTTTAGGGTTAGGCGTTTAGGGGTTTTGGGTTTAGGGTTTAGGGTTTAGGGTTTAGGGTTAGGGGGGTCGCCATAACGGCTTAGGGTCAACATTTCTGGTAAATGCTAATTAGTGTTCAAGTTTTTTGATTCTTTCGACTGAGGTTGTTGATTTACTACAGGGGCCTTAATAATTAGAAGAGGGTTTTTGGGCCCATTCTAGTATAGTTATAATAAGGAACACCCAAAGTAGTATAGGTAATTATTGAGGCTCCCATATGAATTTCGAAGCTTGGGCTTGTTCACGTCTAGGGGTTGTTGCCAACAAACAGTTTAGGGTTTAGGGTTTAGGGTTCAGGGTTCAGGGTTTAGGGTTTAGGGTTCAGGGTTTAGGGTTTAGGAGGAACACACTAGGTTTAGGGTTTAGGGTTCAGGGTTTAGGGTTTAGGGTTTAGGTTTCAGGGATTAGGGTTTAGGGTTTAGGAGGAGCACACTAGGTTTAGGGTTTAGGGTTCAGGGTTTAGGGTTTAGGAGGAGCACACCAGGTAAACGAACAGAGCCAAAACGACCTAGGGAACTCAAGCCAGCATCAACAAGGCCAAAAACAAACGAAACACAGGAAAAAGCAAGCAAATGGGGAATTCACAAACAAACTCAGTAAGAACAACGAAGCCCAGGGGAAACACAAAAGAAAGGGACAACCATGTTTCATTCCTTGTAATCTACAAAAAAACAAGTTAAGCACAGCTAGCGAAGTCCAACAACAATCAACCACACCTAGGGACATTAGCAACAACGACATCAAACATACACCAAAAGCCAAAAACTGGGGATAGGGGAGCCCAAAATAGCATCAGCACAACCTAGGGAAAGCAACGAAACATACAAAAAACAAAAATGTCAAGCAAATCCTAGGGGCGTCAAACATAATCAAAAAACAGCAAAATCAACATCGAACATTTCAACAAGACAATTACACCTAGGGAAATCAACAAAAATCGAACACAGCAAACAACCTAGGTGAATCACCTAAGCATTGAAAACAGCACAGGGAACTAAACACAGATCAGCAACCATCAATGATAGTTCGGCAGCCGACGAGAAAGGCAAACAACGCACTGCAAAACCCGTGAAATCCCATTGAAAACAACAGCAACTCCAACACACGCAAAACAAGCCGGGGGAGACGTAACCATTGCAAAAGCAAAAACATCCCAGGAAGATCACACAAAATCAACCATAATTCAGTCGATCCCGTGGCAATCAAAACCAAGTAAGAAGCAATTCAAAACCAAGAAAACCCCAGGAAATCAGCAACTAAAAACTACCAAAACCAACAAGCAAACCTGGGGAACCAATCGACACACAGCCGTGGGTGCGAAATAAAACACATAAGAAGTTCAGTCAACGAGAAGCAAAACATAACCTAGTGAGGGCAATAAATTATATAATTCCACTAAGCCCAAGAAAACCCAAGGAAATCAAAGCGAACATCGAAACAACCTAGAGAAATCAAATCAACTAATAAGTCACAATTTGTACCGCTTGACAGGTTCCCAGCACATGCCCAGCCATGGCAAGTCTCAAGTGAGGGTTTCTCTGGCCTGTGAGAGGCTTAGCTTGTCGTTTAAGGATTTAGGGCTTTAAGGTTTAAGGTTTTGGGCTTTTGGGCTTTAGGGTTTAGGGTTTAGGGGATTGTTTTGATCAGGGCTCTGTGCCCCAAGCCCATAGTCACTCACCAAGTTAGTAGGATACCCCTTCCCCTAAACCGATTACGTTTACCCGAAGCGGCGATGCTGGCCATTTGAGGGGTGTCTAAACTCATGCAAGAACCCTGTACCCTAAAAGCTGAACCCTAAACCCTAAAATTTAAAGAAGATTAGTTCAGAGTTTGGGAGTCTCAAACCCTCTTCTCATCCCGACATCACCAAGGAGCATCGGGCCAAGTTCGCAGAGCACCACCGGGCATGGCTACGTTTCGATGCCTATTCTCGGGTGGCCCTGGCATGCTTCAGGTGGTTCGGTGGTTTTGTGCTCTAGGGCACAGCTGTGATACCAGCTGTTCAGAAGTAGCTGTGTGTAAGGTTTAAGCTTTACAGGGTTTAGGGTGAGATCAACATCCTCTGAGTGTCCGTGTTGACGTCGATACGCAATCCCCCGTTACAACAACCTCGTCTCAATGACGCCCTCTGTTTTCAGGCTACCGTTTCGGGTTTAGGTGTTTGGGGGCTTCGGCTTAGGCTTCGGCGTCCCCTCAACCCCAAACCCAAAGCCTGACCTAAACCCTAAGCTAACACCCCGGGATCAGGATAGGATTTTGCCTTTGCTGCATGGCCTCTACGGCTTAGGGTTGAAGGCTCGCCTGTAGACTTGAATAGGGATTAGGGATCGGGGTAAAGCCTCGTACACCGTAAACCAGCCTAATCAAACCCATGAGTCTTGCCTCAAACCCAAGACTAAACCTTACCTGGACCCCAAAAGGATGTAAAATAATAGCCTTTTAAGGGTCTTGGGCCATTATTTTACCTACTTTTGGGGGTTTAGGTATAACTCTTTACCCATGTCCTATTGCCAAACCTGTATACCATCGCCGCAAGCCCTTTAAAGCCCCTAAAACCCCTATCCGACTGTCTTGGACGAGAAGGCAGCAAAGACTTTACTGCACCACTCGGAAGCCTGTCGAGCATCAGTTTATGGCAACAGAGCGGGACTTCAGTTTTATCTTGCAGGTGTACGTGACCTCCAGTGGATTCGTCCAGTCAGAGTCTCACGCCAAGCAGCTGCTTCCTGGTCCGGTGGCAGCCCCATCGCGCACTGGCTTTGCAATCTAAGCAAGGTGGCTTGGCGTTCACCTGCTGCGATTGTGTTCCACTACAGGCCTTGTGCGTGACAGGCTTTGTGTTTACGAGAAAGACCGAGCGCCGTGTCACGTAGGCGACAAAGACTTGCCTACGAAAGCGGAAGGCTTGCAGTCGATCGGCTGACACTCACTGCTGCAAACCCAAACCCCAGCAGTAGCCCCGAAAGAAACCACCTGCTAGGTTATGACCCCATAAAGCTCAAAATTCGGAGATACCTGCCTAAACTGTAAACCTGAACCCTTATGAAGTCCTCTTCCAGTACCCCCCCCCCCCCCCCCCCCCAGCCCTCCAACGAAGCTGGCTGGATCCCAGTGGTGCGCGTATGCCCGTTTTCAAACCCCAGGTCTCGATTGTCCAGTCCACAGGGTCCCATGTACATGTAGAGCAGCATGTAGGTTTAGGAATTACCCCTAGGCTCCATAGTAGTT